AAAAGATTGAAGTTGTCAAGGATTTCATTTTACTTGGATCCACAATCAACATCCATGGAAGCAGCAGTCAAGAAATCAAAATATTCATTGCATCAGGCAAATCTGCTGCAAAAGACCTCTTTAAAGTGTTGAAAAGCAAAGATGTCACCTTGAAGACTAAGGTTCACCTGACCCAAGCCATGGTATTTTCAATCGCATCAGATGCATGCAAAAGCTGGACAATGAATAAAGAAGACCAAAGAAGAATTGACATCTTTGAATTGTGGTATTGATGAAGAATATTGAATATACCATGGACTGCCAAAAGAATGAAAAAGATGTCTTTGAAGAAGTACAACCAGTATGCTCCTCAGAAGCAAGGATGGCAAGACTATGTCTTACATACTTTGGACATGTAGTCAGGAGGGATCAGTCCCTGGAGACGGACATCATGCTTGGTAAAGCACAGGGTCAGCGAGAAAGAGGAAGACCCTCAATGAGATGTATTGACACAGTGGCTGTAACAGTGGGCTCAAGCGTAACGATTGTCAGCATGGCACAGGACCGGGCAGTGTTTCATTCTGTGGTACATAGGGTGGCTATGAGTCGGAACCGACTCGACAGCACCTAACATCAACAACAACGTTTAATGGGTTCAAGACTGTGACCTCAGAAAAGTCCCTTGCAATAATCTTTTGTTAAAAAAATGTACTGGTTTTTAAAGTGGACATCCTGGTTTCAGTCTGAGCACTTTCTTTTTTCTAATTTTTTTATCCTATCAAAATATGTCTTTCAAATTCATCTCTTCTACACTCCCACCTGTCCCTCTTTCCTCTCTAGCCTCCATCGATCAGATTGTCTTACTTTTTAAAAAACACTTCAGTGACTCCAAAGTGTCTGTAGTAAAGAATATAGTTTAAACTCTAAATATTTAGAAAATTATTCAAGGCCATCATCATTTAGAATTAATCTTTCAGTTCTTCAATCGCCCTCTGAATCTTATCTAAATAAACACACACATATAATATATTGGATACTTCCTCTGCCCCACACCCTGTGCTAAATTGTTTCCCTTACATCATTTCATTTACTCACAACGACCTTATATGTTAGATACGCTTTTGATCTCCTCTGTACAGATGAAGAATCTGAGACTCAGTTTAAAGCTGAGAGCTACACACTAAGACTCCAGAGCCCAGGCTCTATGCTCCCTGCACCATCTGTGTCTGAGTCATCCCTGTGTCTTCCGAGCACCTGAAAGTTGCTTTGCCCAGAGCAGACAATGACTGACTGATGTGCTGGGGCTGCTGGGGCAGTAGGAAGCCTCCGCCCTGCTGTCTGGCTGAACCAGGTTCTCTGCCAGAAGAGCAGAGTTAGGCTGCCCTCCAGAGACTGCTGTTAAAGCCCTTACCATATCACAGAGTCCCAGCATCATTTAAATATAACCCCAGCCTCATCATTCATTTATATTGACCAAGTGCCTACAACAGCTCAGAACTAGAGAGCAAGAGTTAAAATAATACCTTCTTCAGAA